CTAATCGCTCACAGTCTGTCCGTATTCATAATAAGCAGTCCAATCCCCTCAGTGTGCCAGCAGGCCTGCCACAAGGCTCTATATTAGCTCCTGTCCTATTCTGTATGTATATTAGATGTGGGAAAAATGATCGATTCTAAGATGCATCGCGATTCAGCCGTGCATGATTCCGCATCGATGCAGCAACGTGACATAATGAGATTCTCTCCCTATGTCTATGTCGGGGGTCGGCAACCGCGGCTCTGGAGCCGCATGCGGCTCTTCCATCCATCTGATGCGGCTCTCTGTGCTTGTAAAATAATGAATGGATATTTAAATAAAATGCTTTATATTTTACTGCATTAATTTTACATCTGTATGCCAATTCTAAATGTAAAGATTGTCTGAGTAAACCTGAACAGTTCCAACCCGGTCTAGACGCGTCACGCTTGTGCGTAATTATATGCGTGTTCTGAGCTGACGAGGATGTGAGATTCTGGGATTCTCTTCAGCTCCTGGATGTGTCGCCACATTGGAGACAGGAACAAGTGCTATTCAGCCAAAGTTTCATAATCAGGGAACATTTTCTAAGTGACAAGTCTCGCTTCAGTCGGAGGAATCTTCCTGCATGCGTCCTGGTTCTGCGACGTGCTCCAAGCCCCTCTCCACATCTTCAGCTCACTGTGCGCCGTACGTACGCGCTGACAGCGAGCTGCGCTGAGCTCCGTGTCCAGCTCAGATGGGAATCTTTTCTTGAGTGATTTAGCTACATCTGCGATGTGCGAAACGAATAAAATGTCAGTTCGTCTGCATGCGTCGGGGTAATTCTTTCTGTTCTTTCTCCGTCAAAATAAATAGTCAAAAACGGGAACTATCCGGTCAACACAACACAAGCCCTGCTTTTAACTGTTCTGTTTTCTTGTGAAAATAGATAAATTTAACTTGATTAACACCAGAGCCAGGCGCACTGCACCGTCGTCTCCGTCGCTGTAAATGAGGGAAAAACAAAATGATCGGATCCTTTTCTGACCTACAAAGTTTAATTACAACAATCAAATGTGACAGAGCCTGGATTTGTATTCTGAACAGTCTAAACATGTTTTAAAAGAAACGTATGACAAAAGTGGCACCTGCTCAGTAAAACCACCAACAGGGTGAAAAATATCAAAATATTGTAGCAGAGACGGGCTACAACTTCTGGATCCACTTTATATAAATCGTTTTATTGATTATCTTCTTATGAAAGATAACTTTGACGTACACGAGCGACCGACTGGTACCGGCTGCTGTCTGAGGGTAGGCCCTGCCCACAACGCCGCGGCTGCTGCGGTGTTTTCTTTACTGTGGGAAATGGGTAATAATGGCTCTTTGATGGGAACAGGTTGCCGACCCCTGGTCTATGTCTATGTGAGGACAATAAAATTTTGAGGTATTACTTCTGGGGGCAGAGTTGCAATGACATGCGCACTGCGTTGTCCTAGAAGCAATTGGACAGGGATACAGGGCCAATACCAGTAATCAAAGATGTACCCGTTACATTTAAATCGGATATCTGGGCTAATTTCTGTTTTGGGATCCTGGATGTGAAAGAATCACTTAACACAGTATTTGTTTACTATTTTTAAGTTCAGTAATATTCTATCTTAAAGCTGCTCTACCGAAAACATTATTTCTTGAATTATTTAAGTAATTATTGGCAGCACACTTTAAATATTATTGCTCACTATAGTGAAGAGATGAATGTTCTGTTTTTCAGGGATTTCGAAATCAAAAAGAAATTAAAAACTATTCTACTGCTTTTATTAAGTAATGAAAATTTTTGTGTGAAGAATCGTGATGCATTTCAGACTCAAATCGAATCGTTAGGCAGATAATCGGAATCGGATCGAATCGTGAGGCAGGTAGAGATGCACACCACCAATGTATGTTAATGGCATTCCGCACGTGTGCCCTGATGTTAATATACAAATGTACGCCGATGACACAGTTTTATATGTACATGGAACATCAAAACAAGAAGTAGCCAATAAACTCTCAAAATCAATGGTTAATGTCTCTTAATGGTTAAATCAGAGCTGTCTTCAACTGAATGTGTCAAAAACAATGGGAATGTATTTTACAAAATCAAACAAGACAACAGCAGACCCAGACATCATAGTTTCAGGAGAAAAACTCCATATTGTTCAAAAGTATAAATATTTAGGCATACAAGTAGACTCCAAATTAAACTTCAAGTCACATGTGAAGGAAACCTGTAAAAAACTAAAATACACCTTGGCCAACTTTCGATACATCCGTAACTCCATGTCCATTCAGGCCGCTAAAACATATATGCAATCAATGGTTTTCTCCCACATCACCTACTGTTTGACAACCTGGTCCCTGGCAAACTCCACATCTCTGAAACCACTGCAGTCCCTTTACAAACAGACACTTAAAGTGCTTGACAAAAAGCCAAAACATTTTCACCACTGTGTCATCCTATCAAAGTATAGGCTCTTAACTGGGAAAATCTTATTCACTTCACAAATGCCTGTCAAATATTCAAAATTTTACATGGAATGGCCCCACCCCCTCTCTGTGAATTTGTGAGTATTAGAACACCTACACACACTGTCACTAGAGGAACGTCCACAGGTGACTGCATCATCCCTTTTAGGAAAAGCACACTAGGTCAGTCATCGTTCGGTGTTAGGGCAGCTCAGGAATGGAACAACATCCCAACATCAATCAGAGACATCTCCACGTACACCCTATTCCGTGCCCATCTGAAACACTGGCTCATCACTAATCAAACATGTCAACACTAACTCCCCATGCTGCTATTGTTTGTTCTTAGTGCAGTATATTAGGTATGTTTCGTACTGCCTTTGTAACCCTTTATTGTCGTACATGTGCAGGTCTTACGTCTCTGATTACCGTCATTACCACATGTTTTTTTCTTGTTATCCTCTTACTTTCCTTTAAATATTCTCACTATTATTAATAAGTGTTACTAGTATGTTTACTTTTTTTTAATAATGTACATAGGATCTTTTCAACAATGTTTTTGTTGTATGTTGATCCGCTAGTCTTACTTCACTTTTGCATTTACTGTCTGTGCTTGTTATTTTGTTGTTTTTACTATTATTCTCTTTCAATAATGGCTAATTGCTGCCTCTTCGATAGCTCAACTCAACTCAACTCAACTTTATTTATAAATCGCGCCTTACCCCGGCTTTCCACAGGAGCCGTCAGCAGCACGTTACTGCAGCAGCACGTCATAGCTGCTGATAGGAACCGCTGTGATCAGCAGAACCTTTTCCACCGGAGCCGTCAGCAGCGCGAGTCGGCCGCGTCTCAGGAGCAGCATGTCGCGGCCTTTACGCGCCGGTTCTATTTTCTACGCGCGACGCCTCTGAAACGGGTCAAGTTTGACATTTTTTGGGGGAAGGAAAGACAGGAAATCGGACGCGGAAATGGAGAGAATCTACCGAGATTTTCAGAATAAAGAACGCACTGCCTTCCGGTTGCTTTACTTTTAAAAAACGTTACTAACTGTGCGGCCCCGTGAGAAGTTATCACCTAGCTAGCGGTCTCCTTTGTTTTTCAGGTCCGTATTGGTGATTATAAAACGGACAGAACATAAAACACAAACCATGTTGTAGTTTTCTCCTGCTTGTTGTTGTGTTTACTGACGAAGTCACTCGTGTGACTTTGTGCTCTGTCGGTGACAGCTGCTGCCCTGCTGCTTCGCGTCTCGTGGGAAGGGCCAAGCAGCAGTTTACGCGAGCAAGACGTGCTGCTGCAGTAACGTGCTGCTGACGGCTCCCGTGGAAAGCCGGGGTTACAGGCAAAAAGATGCCACCAAGGCGCTACACTGATCAAATAAAAACATAAAACACTAAGTCCAGAAAATAAAACATTGTATCACACGATACAGATAAAACTACAGTGAGTAAAATCGCTATAAGTAAAACAATAAAACTAGTTAGAAAGGTTAAAAGACAGGTCACAAAAATATGTTTTTAGCCTTGCCTTAAAACCGCAACAGAGGTGGAGGCCCTTATGCTGAGAGGAATCTTATTCCAAAGCTTAGGACCTGCCACAGCAAAAGCCCTATCACCACGCGTCTTTAGGCGCGTTCTTGGGACCGAGAGGAGCATGAAGTTCTCCGAGCGGAGTGACCGTGAAGGGGTGTATGGTTGAAGTAGTGACACCAAGTAAGAAGGGGCTAAACCATTTAACGTTTTAAAAACTAGTAAAAGTATTTTAAAATGAATTCTAACATCAACGGGCAGCCAGTGAAGCGCAGCCAGGACAGGAGTTATGTGGTCAAACTTGCGCCTGCCCTCTAAAAATCTGGCAGCAGCATTCTGGACCATTTGCAACCTGGCTATTGAGCCCTTGCTCACACCGAATAGAACAGAGTTGCAGTAGTCCAATCGCACCGTAATAAAAGCATGGACTACCGTCTCAAGATCATGACGTGACAGAAACGGTTGATCTTTGCCAGCCGACGAAGGTGGAAAAAGGAGGAGGAGATCACTCCATTGATAAACATGCTGCTTTTGTGATCTGGCATTCTTGAATACTGTATGTACTCTATAATGTTGTAATGGATTAGAATTACATTTAATTAAGGACCATAAGACATTAAAGATTCATATCTAGTACAAATCCCATCTTACATACACTGGGTTATTTAAATCAGAAGATTGGATCTTTTTATTACAGGGACTTTCTAATAATAACACTTTGCATTAACTGAGAGACAAGAGAAGAGAGAGACTTTCAAACGTTTAAGGAAATTTATTACTAAATGATTTTTAAACTATTTACAAGACTAACTCTCTAACGATGGATGTTCTGTTGGAATGAAGTGTGAGGTGAATGGTGTGTGTGTGAATGATGTTAAATTCAGAACCTCCGCATCCCGAGGAGCAAAGTTGAGTGGGAGATGATGTTTTGCTCCTAACTGATCAAAGTTTGAGACCCATGGTCATAAACACATGAGACGCCATTTTGTCGCATCCACATACCCTCAGTGAGACCTCCGTACAGATCCGGATGCCAGGTCCACGGACCCTCCTTTCGGTACTGGAGCCAATGGTACAGCGTCACAGCACGACAAACCAGTCTTTGGATAGTCTCCAGGTAAAAAGTGACAGGTGTTTCACAGACAGAGATGCGCCGAGCTGCAGGGAGAAACAGTTAGTGGTTAGTGGTTAGGTAGTGTAGACTCAGTTGAGTTTATACTATTCTCTTCTCCTCGTTTGCATTTGGTAAAGCTTGTTTCGCTCGCTAGTCTTTGGTTTACACACTCTTTAGGATTTTGGATTTTGGATTTAGGATTTAGGAATAGATCATTTGGCTTCTCGACTTCAGACCGTCTTTGACTTTGACTTTTGATCTCCCCAGAGCTTTCCTGCTTATCAGGAAAGCTCTTATTTTTCTCGGTTGTTTAAACCCCACCCCCTTCTGGGGTGGCGTTCTCCGTTCTCCCCTTTTGTATATAGCTCCTTCCTGTATTGTATTTATTGATATCCTTCTTGTAAATATTCCTTTTGTAATAAAATCCTTTGTTATTTTAGCGACACAGCACTTCGTTATTATTTCACCCGCACACCAATTTTATTACTCCCCTATCCTCATCTCTCCTAGAGAGCCGGGGTCGTAATGCATGTATAATTGTTACGTGAAATTCACATCCAGAAAAAACGTCGGTTCAACTTTCATTCTGGAACTATTTTTTAACCATGACGCGACGTGTCGACCCGACGTCTTTTCAATGTTGATTAAATGTCCGAATGTTTGCTGGGCAGAGTCATGGGAGCTTGAGGGTTCTGCAGTATTTTAACTGTTCTTTGATCTGCACTTTTCTGGACTGAGATGTCTGCTGTTTTTCCTGGAATCTGCTTTAGCCACTCCTAAAGTTTGGGAGTTACTGCCCCAAGTGCCACAATGACCAACGATGTCTTCACTCTCCAGACAAGTTCTTTTTTGAGGCCCTGGTACTTCTCTAGTTTCTCATGTTCCTTTTTCCTGATGTTGCATCACTTGGTTTCGTTTCGAGCTTTATTCGTTCTTTAATAATCCATTATTGAATTATGATCGGCAGAAGCTTTTCCGGTTCGCATCTCACTTTTTTGACAGCAGCAGCCCAAAACTATCTCCTAACACATGGATTTTCTGCTTCCTGATCACGTGACATGTGACGTATGTGGATGAAGATCGGCTTTAGAGCTGGGATGTTTGTTCTAATGGTGCAGGGGCTCGTTCCGACACCCACACAGTAAAAAAAATGCAAATGATGACTTTAGTCGTCATTGGCAGTGAACGGTTGGATTTAAAATGACGACTTTAGTCGTCAATGGCAGTGAATGAGTTAATAATGGATTTTTTTTTTTCAATAGTATCACAGCGACCAGCATCCCGGCATGCGTTGCAGTTGATGACACAATGCTCCCTGTCTCACTCCGGCAATCATTTGCACACCTGTATACCACAAACTCGAAGCCTTACTGCGCACCTCCTCCAAGTGCACTTTGCTGAAGACCGCAGGGCGCAGTCAGTGTGAGCATTGGGATTGGGCCTCTGTCCTCCAATCGTTACCTGTATTAATGGCACCTGTTGGAACTTGTTTTCAGTATAAAAGACACCTATCCACAACCTCAAACAGTCACACTCCAAACTCCACTATGGCCAAGACCAAAGAGCCGTCAAAGGACACCAGAAACAAAATAGTAGGCCTGTGCCGGGCTGGGAATACTGGATATGAAATAGGTTAGCAGCTTGGGTGAAGAAATCAATTGTGGGAACAATTATTTAAAAGTGGAAGACATAAAAGATCATTAATAATCTCCCTCTTATCAGAGGTTCCAAGCAAGATCACACCCCATGAGATCAAAATGATCACAAGAACGGTGAGCAAAAAGCCCAGAGCTACACGAGGGGACCTGGTGAATGACCTGCAGAGAGCTGGGACCAAAGTTACAAGGGCCACAGCAGGAACGGAAGATGGTGCCGTTCATTGTCTTCTTTGGAAACCCGTAGACTCGATGTCCGGACCAGCTAGAGTATATACAGCCTCCACACATTAGCTTACCATTTTTTAAGAAAAATGAACGCAATCCAAATCTAGTGAACACACACACTGACTCAATAGCACGACCTATACGAAAACTACCTACTCGCCACACTTCGCTTCAGGCTGGACTAGCTTAACTACCCCTCGTTACGTTAGAGGTTACGATTTTTTAAAAAGCGTTTTTGGAAGCTTTGCTGAAAAAGGCCACTTTTTACTCACTAAGGGGCTGTTATGTATTGTAAAACAAAATACCCACAATAAGTGTTTCAAATTGTATTTTTGTACAGCATTTTATATGAAATTAAAATAAAATTTTACCTGCAATTTGCTCTTTAAGGTTACTTCTTTGTAATATAATCTATAGTATGGGGCTGCCACCAGAGGTGCAATATTGTAAAAGAAACAGATTACCAGCAAGCACCAACAGTTGGTACAACAGTACTTAAACCTCACCGCCTCTATAACCTCTTTAGGTGCAGAAAGGTACTTTTTCTGAAAGAAGCACTGAGTTGATGTGCGTTACGCTGCAGAAAAGGCCAACAGTTGTTGTTTTAATTGTTTAATTGTTTGATTTTCTCTTAAGGGCACATGTCCATCTGCAGAACCAGTCTACACATCTGCAACATCACTGGTTAGTTTGGTGATTTCATCAGAAAGAAGTGACAACCATTACTTATCAAATTTAAAGGAATTATTCTACTGAAAACTTCTGAGAAAGTAAAAAAGATCCCAACTCAACCTGGAATGACTGCTTTGTCACCTTCCTTCTTTTGATGAAAGGAGCAGAAGTTTGTAAGTCTTACATAACTCCATTTTGCTGTAGCTTCTTGATGATTTTAATATGTGAAATTATCTGTGAGAAAATAACACAGTTCTTCATCTGTTCCAAGCAAGATTGTTATTGCTAAAAAAATAATGACAAATAGTAAAATAATTGTAAATTAAAAAGGTATTTCATTAACTGAAATAAAATAACTTGACAATGCAAAAAAAAAAAAAAAAAGAAATCAAACAGAAACCAATGAGTGTTGACAAAACTAACTAAAACCAACTGGATTTATAGAGAAAATGGACTTAGTTTATGTAATTATCAGTATTAAGTCTAGTATTAGAAACTTTCTCGTTAAAACGTGATATAAATCACGTTTTAACGAGAATTGTTTTTCGAAATAACATGTTCTATAACTTGTAATAATGACATGATTAATAACGGTAAAACGGTGACATCTCGCGGGATGTTTGAGTCTTGTCAGGAAGAAACGGAGGGAGACAAGATTGAGACTCCAATGGAACCACTTTTTGCCTTTTTATGTCAACGTAACTTGTCTGCAAAAAAATCTGATATTTTAAGCGTTGCAAAGCAGCTGTTTTTTCCAAATGGACAATCTAAAAAGGGAAAACTGGAAGATTTCACTTGTAATATTTTAGATTATCAAGAGGATGACATTTTATAAGAAGACATGACAGTAGGAGAACTTTTATTCCCTGCTGAAAATGGGAATTTTAAGATTTTATCTTTGCACAAAGGAACGGAAAGAACTGACAATCACAGAACTCATCAATGTGCCAGATGAAAGAGTGGAGAACGATGAACCAGAAGACAAAAACAACTTCTCAGAGTCATCTAACTCCTCTGAGGTTATGGTAGGACATTACACCGGTGAACCTCAGGCATTGCAACTTGCTGACACTCTGCCCCTTTCATCAGATGATGAAGGGGGATCTGTGAGTTTTAATCTACCATCAACTTCCCTGAACTTTGTGAGTCCTGTAAACCAGTCACTCTCAAACAACTCTGCACCATCTACATCTACTCCCACTGAGAATCCTGCATCTCCTGATATGGGCCCAGTATTTGTTTTGTCCAGTCTGTCAAATGATGAAGGAAACTTTGTGATTCTTGGTCAACCATCATCTGCCCATAACCTGGCAAATCCAAACAGTCAGCCTTTAACAATCAATACACTGCCATCTACTTAAAGCCGGGCGTACACTGTGCGACTTTTTCACTTTTTTGAGCCGATTTTCCAGTCGTGCGAGAAGCCACGACATCGGGGCGAGTTTTGCGCCGAGCGGTCGTGTAGTGTACAGGGGGTTACGAGAGGCGATTAACACCACGTGACCAGCCGCCGATCAGCAGTCGTGAGGTCGCAGGGACTTCTGGTGTGTTTAATATTTCGCTCGTCCCTCGTGAGGGTATCGCACTGTTGAAGCGGCGCTGCGAGCAGCTGCGACCCAAAAAGTATCAGAACCGTTCACGGCGCATGCGCGCGCAATCCTGCATCATCGCCGGCCGGTCGCTCGCTCGCTATTTCCCTAATAACACACGCTGTTCGTTTTTGTTTCTACACGTTTTTTTTTACTCACAAAGATTGTCAAGAAAGCGTGTTTGTCGTGTTCATGTCAAATTAAACTGATCACAAAACACAGATTTACTTTCTTTATTTCGTTTTCCTCATCCAACCCCCATAAATCCCTGTGTGTCCTCCTGCAGCACTCCCGAAGGACAACAGGCAAGACAAAAAAGTCTGACGTGTTGAGTAAAAACTGCTATTTTTAGCACATTTTTAGGGCCGACGTGTTGCTACCAGACGTACAGTGTGAGCAGTCAGGTCGCATGCGAGAACTGGGTCGTACAGTGTGAGCACACGACTCGTGAGATCTGCCCTGCGAGGAAGTCGTACAGTTTGAGCTGAAGCTGAACGCTGCGAGTGAAAAAGTCGCACAGTGTACGCCCGGCTTAACAGAGCAACCTACACATACATTTATGCTACCTGCACCTAATGTCAGTTCTTCAGTTAGCGAAGTGCACACTGAGCTGTCTGGATTTGAAGTTGTTAATGTCAGCATTAAGCTTCATAGGACAAAGCTTATGGATGAACTAATCACACAGTTCAAAGATCCCAACTTGGTCACCTACCCTTTGAAATTTACTTTCATAGTTGAGAAGGGAGCAGATGCTGATGGCATTTCCAGAGATGTCTATTCTGCTTTCTGGACAGAGTTTTTGGATTGTCTTGCTGAAGGGCAGGACATGAGAGTTCCATTACTTACACCAAAGTGGCAGGAGGAAGAATGGAAATCAGTTGGACGCATTCTTGTTAAGGG